TGTTACTACTAGCGTCCTTGTTACTACTAGTAAGGCACCTGTTACTAGTAGCTTCCAACACGCCTCGATTACTTTTCTGCTTCGCGTGTTCCTTCCCCCCGAGCGGAGAGCTCCGAGCTCAGCGCAGCCAGCACCGCTGGAAGCGCCCGGAGCGGCAGTTGCCGGAGACGCTGGTACCTCGGTACCGGCCCCGCAGTTGAAGCGGGATGGAGTGGGAGGTGTATAGTATGTATTATTATAAGGAGATTATGTAGATTCATAGAACTGATGAATTGTGGAGTATTCCTTTAAGTTGTTTAATCCAATAAACAACAAATTAATCAACACCTCCGGATACGGCTAAAAACGTAAAACATCTTAAACACTTCTTCATAAATAAGGCTACCTGGACCATCCTGTCTGTGTGTCCTGGCAGGAGATCCCAGTAGCGCAGGGTAATCCGACACTCATTGGAAGGCCCTGGTATATGCATGGATGCATAATATATATATATACACACATGGAACTTATTGAATTGACGTGTACATGTATATATATATATATATACCATCTGCACCTTCAAAGGGTGCTCAACTAATGGAGATCCACAAGTAGTGTATGGTGGTCTTATTGGAGACCCCTATGTTTAAGGTGCTGCTGGTCATCAGTTCTTGGCTTTGATCACCTCCTCTGTTCTCCGTGTTTTTTCTTGTGCGAGCTTTACCTTGCGCAACACCACGATGCGAATCGGTGGCCCGAGGCCCCTCCGCTATTGGCAGTCGTCTACATCGTCTTGAGGGATGTGTTGAAACAAAGAGTTGAGTGGGCCCAAATACAGGAGCGGAGAATGGACTGTCCCTTTCATCAAGTCTGTTCCATGGTTCAACAATGAAGTGGCCTCCAAACCCACTGGTATATTGGATGGAGACACTCCGTCTAAAGAATACATCTTGGGATTTTCTGCCACCAACCCTGAAACCCACTGATCAAATGATGGCCACATCCTCTACAACCTTCACCCTTCCTTCCGCGAGCCGATGCATTGTTCGGCCGAACGTTCCGATGCGTTCGGTCGCACACGGTGGACCGAAGCGCTTCAAAAGGAGCTTGCAGAGCCTGCGAGGAGCGGCACGGATGAGACCAACTGATCAGAAGTGAAGAGGAGACCACCCAGTGTTCCAACCGCGTCTGGCAGAACGATGCGTCGAATGGAAACTCCTGGAAGCAACATGGAGAGATGCGTCGCGTTTTTGTCGCTTCGTGTAATGGATGCCATGAGCGACCCGTTGTCTGAGAACGAAGTCAAACTGAAACACATGGAGACCAATGGAGACCAATGGAGACCTGGGACCTGGTTACTTCTGAAAGGCGAGGAATGGTCAAACGAGTATGTCTTGACTCAAACTTGAGAGGAGGGAGACACGAAAGGTAGGACAGCGGGAAGAGAAGAGAACGCGAGAGGCAGGAACAAAAATGCAATGTTCGACATGGTGATTTATCCCCTCGGAGGCGACCTTTCGTAAATATATGTTCATATGCACTCTAAATGTTCAAACATATGCTCTCGAAATGTTCAAAAAGATTCTTAGGAAAACAAATTTGCCCCATGGCTCAGATCATCGGTGAGCATTGAATCGGAACATCATAGGATTTGAACTATCCTGAAACCATAAGAGGCTCACGAAGACGCTCCCCAGGAGAGAATTGACGTGCTTCACAAAACA